AACACGCCTGGACTGCAGGCTAGCCCCTGGTTGGGGTGCATGCAAGAGGCAACCGATGGATGTTTCGCTCCCTCTCTTTCTCTCTCTAAAAAATAAATTTAAAAAATCTTTAAAAAATCTTACACAAAAATATGCTAACTATGTGTATTCAAACAAGCTCTGTGCCTAAAGGGGTGGCCTTGGTCAAATCATTTTACCCTGTTCTGTATTTTTATTACTCCAGCTCGTATGTACCTCTGTACTTCCAAGGACAGAAGGAAACCCAAGAGATTAGCTATAGCCAGGGATGTAGTCAACCCGACTCTTTCGGATAAGGCAGAATTATAAGGAAAGGGACTTACCTTTAACAAACTTTAACCCTCTCTTAAATTTTGTTCTACATCATGTCGTGTAAATGACAGGGGGCTGCAGTAAAGCCCCCTGATGACTCTCGTGTATCAGAACAATGACATCTGCTTACTCTCAAGGAACTGCAAGAAGATGAATGCACTAGTAATTTCTTAATCACTTTAAGGGGGGAAAAGCTGACACTAACGATTAATAGATGTGAATCGCTGGATTCACAGCATTTACACCTATCAGAGAAGTACCACCTGCTGACTTTGGATGTGTATGTGTGTACAAGTGTGCTTCTAGTAACCACCTAAACTGTCACTTCCTCAGACCCTAAGTGAGTACACAGGTTGCTATGGAAACAAGCCTGTGCTTAGCTGGACTATAGGTAAGTGGCTGTCTTACCCAGGTTTCCCTTAAGTATTGGGACTTTGGGGGAGAGACCAATTTCACTTTTTAAAAAAATCCTCACTCGATGTTTATTGATTTTAGAGAGAGAAAAAGAGAGGGAGAAAAACATCAATGTGAGAGAGAAACACCAAGCAAATACCTCCTGTATGTGGCCCCACCAGGGATCAAACCCACCTTTAGGTGTATGGGACAATGCTCCAACAAACTGAGCCACCTGACCAGGGCCCAATTTCACTTTTTGATTAAGTATGGTCTTTTATTTTTTTAATATTTATTTTTAGAGAGAGGGGAAGGGAGAGGGAAGGAGAGAGAGAAACATCAATGTGTGGTTGACTTTCGCACACCCCCATCTGGGGACCTGGCCTGCAACCCAGGCATGTGCCCTGACTGGGAATCCAACCTGCAACACTTTGGTTTGCAGGCTGGCGCTCAATCCACTGCGCCACACCATCCAGGGCTAAATATGGTCTTTTAATTGCTCTCCTTATTTTTACAGTTTTTAAAGCACACTAATTTAATAAAGATTTAAAGTCCATTGTCAAAAACAATTATTATTTTTGATGCAATTGTTTTCAATGGCTTAATTATTTCCATGCTGTCTGCAGATTTATCTGGAGCGTGAAAGTTGAAGGTGAGATAACGACCCTGAAAGGGGCGTGGAGAAGCACCCAAATCTGTCCTTAAGAGAACTGAAGGGCCCAGGAACACTCCTGGTATTCATGGAAAAAATGGGAGTGCTGCCAGGGAAGTGCAATCTAAGTCTCACCTTAGCTGCACCAGGTTTTCAAACTTGGCACAATGTGGTAAAACTTACAAGATACTCAGTTTAAAAATAAAACCAGAGCTTCCTTATAGAACTATGGGAATGGAAATAGCGCTATCCACCTTCAATCCACTTTCTCTTGCACAGTAATGCTGCTCAGGCCTGCATCCCACCCACGGCAGATTTCTGAACTTCACAGAAAAAGCCCCAGTTGCCAATGAGCACAAGCACTGAACTGAATCCATGAGGAAGGTGCCGGGGGCGTGGGGGGGGGGGTGGGGGTGGAGGCAGCTCATTAGAGTCCTGCTTTCTTTGCTCATGGTTCAAAGTGCACCGCACCCATCTTTCCTCAGAGTCAGTCCCTCCCCACCCTTCCACATTCCTTTTTTTTTTAAGTTTGACAATAGATAAATGTAGATTTTACCAAAACAACACAGGATTTGGGGAAGAAAAGGGGCCACGTGTGAAGCCTGACAAGCTCAGGGGAGGCCTGCATGGCAGCCTTACAAACTCAGAGACCAAAGTAACCACACAGGATGGTCTGAAATGAAAACTAACTAAAAGCAGTTCATGGCGGGTAGTCAGGTCCTAGGCCTGTATTTTTCCCTAACAAGGGTCAATCTTTACCTTAAATGAGCCTGTCTGTTGTCTTTTTGCATCTATGACAAAATACCTTTGGAATGTTAGATTTCCTTTTTCTGGATACCTCCAAGCACAGGACCCACAGCCAGAGACAACAAATCCCCTCACTGTCACTGTTATCATGTTAACTGTTGACTGTTAACTACCCTGTACCTACCTGTGTAAAAAACATGTCTATCACTTTACTTTTTATCCAATTCCAAAATTCTTCTAGCCTCCGCCCGCCCGCCCGCCCCCCCGCCCCCCCCCCCGGGGCCTTGCTTCCTCCTACCTCCCTAATCTGTCACCAATGGATGCCATGTAACCCACTTAGACCTCCTCCTTTGATTGTAATGTATAAAATAAGGAGCAAAACTGCCATTTTCTGGAGCATTTCTCAATCTGTTGAGATTTTGCAATTGTCATCAGTTTGGCTCAAATAAACTCACAAAAATTCTCTAGAGATTTGAATGTTTCTTACACTGACAGATTATAATGCAACAGGTACCCAGGGCCCATGAGAAACTGAGATGACCCTGTGGCGGTCAACGGTCCCAGGAATGGAAGTGACAACGCCCAGCTTCTTCCCTCATGCCACTTCCCAGGGAGTGAATCAGCTGGCATGTTTGTCAGGGACAGCCTCTGCTAGAGCTGCTGGACAAGGAGCCTATCTGCTACTCCAGAAAGCGACTGTTCTGACAGACACTGCAATAAGGCCTAAAGTTCCAAAGCAAAACCAGGAACACGTGGAAAAAATGGGAGCTTGAGATTACGGAGGAAGACGTCTGAGAACAGACCACCTATCCGCAGCACGCCCAAGTGGGGAGGGCCTGGCTTCAGTAATGTTCGAGGGAAGCTAATATTCACTTGTGCGTCCTCTTATCACATCAATATACTCAATGCTTTTATTTTACAGCAAGATTCCAGGTTGATTCTAGTACTCACAGGGGAGTCTTTTACCAGTGAAGGAATCAAACAGGTCAGTTCCACGAGGGCTTGCATTTGGGTTAGGGCAGCAGGGAGCATCCCAGACAGGGCTCTGGGAAACCCTTTGTTTGGGGAATCCTACCTTTGAGGCAAAGCTTTCCTTTCACTTCAATTTCAAGTCCCCAAATCAATTTCAAAAGTACCACCTTAAAGAGCTGAAGAATAAGCAAGTCCTGTACTTTTCAGGGTAACTCTCCAGCCCCCAGGTCAATGATCAAATTACAGGGCTGTTCTTCCTGGGTATAGTCTCTTTCTTTTTCTTTCTTTCTTCTTCCTTTTTTTTTTTTACAGTACCACAAATACACCCTATTGTGTGTCTACCACGTCAAATACCTTGCAAATACATCCCTATTCTGAATCTCTCTGAAGTCTCCTAGAATCTAGGAGGAGCCAAGGAGCGCAATTTGAATAATAATGAAGTGACTGAACAATTTAATTACCAAAGGTATAGCTCTAGGGAATTCCAACAAAAGGGTTGAACAAACGCCTTTATCTACAAAAATGTAACCATGCGCTCAACTGTGGGACCAATTATAGAGCGTGTAGAAGAGAGAAGCACACAGGTGCACACACCAGTTTAAGCAAAGGGGGGTATTAGCACAAATCTTCCCAGGAGACAGGCCAAGATGAAAAAGAATGACTTGGAAAGCTTCTCTCTCATCTATCAAGCTCAAGGTTTAGTTAACTCTCTTCCCTTTCTGATTCATCGAATGTAGCACCTACCATATGTAAAATAATTGAACTGTTCTTCTGAGAAAGGCTTTGAAGAATTTAAAATAAGTTCAATGAATTTTAATAAAAATTCTTCAAAATCAACAGTTACAAAGGTAATTTTATCCCTCACACAATTTCTTCAAAGTGAAAAAATTTCAAGTTAGTTCTTTCTTTGGAGGCCACAGCTTTCAAAGCTGTGCATGACACAGCTTCATCTTGATGTTATGTTTAATAGCCTCCTTCTACTGACCTTTTCAAATGACCTCACAATAAAGGACTTTTTCCTTGCTTTGGAGGAAATAAAAAAAGAACCTTTCCGAAGCCTTAAAAGCTCACAATTCTGTTAGGTCTTAAGAATTAAATGTAAGGAAGCCCCCACAGGCTGAACGATTGCTAAATACCGCTTCTCGAACAGTAAACAGAGTTTGCTTCTCAGAGTGGCAGAGTATTCCCCCACCCCGCACTCACTCCAGGGCAGGCAGAGCCATGCCCAGGTGGTGATTCTGGATGCAGATAAGGCGTCCTAACAACCGCGTTTCCCTGGATCCCGGGAAACCCTTGGCCACTGGGTAACTCCTGTATCACCTGGGTGCATCTTCCCGCCTCTTCACTGGTGGCCCTAAGCCGCAGACCCGGGAAGCCCCAGGACCCCTCCCGCGACTACGGCCAAGGCAAGACTGACACCCGCAGCTGCTGACGACCCTGCCAGTCACGCTGCTGCCGGCTGCCTTTTTTAGCCACGACATCTGACCCCAGCTTTAACAGCAGCATTCAGGAAGAGGTCCCAGGGCGAGCCGGGCGGTCCCCTTTCCCTCCTCAACCCCCAGGATCCTGCCGAGAACTCGGATGAGAGGGGGGGGAGGTACCGGTCCAGCGAGCGCATGTTCCCCCAGCCCAGACTCTTCCTCTCTGTGCTCTCTCTCTGTGCTCTTCCCACTGATCCTGGTACCCCATCGCCGCCTGCACCGGGGCTCCCCCATTTTGCAGCTTGCGGTCCTCGCTCCTGCGCCCCTCCCCACCCCCACCCCGCAACTCCGTTCTCCTGGATCCCCTCCAAGTCCGCTGCCAGCGCGTTCGGCGCGGCCGGGGGCGGGAAGAAACAGAGGGAAGGGTAGGGGTGCCGGCTGAGGACGCGCGGGGCTGGGGGCCAGGCAGGGGACCTGGCGCTCACCTCCCTCCTCCGCCCCGCTGTCCGGGTCGGCATCCGAGGAGTCGGGCCCGTCCCCGTAGTCCGCTAGCCCCACCAGCTCATCCTCCTCGTCGTCGTCCTCGTCTTCCAGCTGCGGCTTCCCCAGCACCTGGCTCATTGCGCCCACCCGCCAGCCGTCCCGGGGGCGGCAAGTTCCGGGTTAGGGGCTAAGCCTCCTCGCTTGCCGCTCAACAACCTATCTGAATTAGGGTTTTGTCTCGAGTGCGGCAGGAGCTGGCAGGAGCCGGCGGGGGCAGCGAATCCCCCGGGCGGGCGGCGTCCTGTCCGGGTCTGGGTTTCGCGGTTCCCAGCGTGCCCGGGCCCCCTCGCCGCCCCTCCCTCCTGCCAGCGGAGGACTCAGCCGGAGCGCGGCAGTTCCTCCCCGAGGAGGGAGAGAGAGACTGCGTGACCCAAGTCACCTGACACACACTGTCTCTCTCTCTCTCTCTCTCTCTCTCACTCACACACACACACACACACACACACACACACACACACACACACACACACGCACGCCCCGCACGGGCGCGCGCGCGCGCGCTCCCAGGCGCAGGCACGCTCCGCGGGCGCTGGGCGAAGGACCGACACACACTCTTGGGGGGGTTGAGGGGGGTGAAGCTCACACGGACACAAGAGGGGTACCCCCCCACCCCGGCCGGGTTGCAGGAACCCACCACGGCTGCGCGCCAGGGGCCACCACGCGCTGCTTCTGCGCGTCGTCCCCGCACAAGCGGGAGAGCTGAGGGCCTGCAGGCTCTGAGAACCTCTTCTCCACCCACCTCCGATACACACACCTTACCTTGGGCAGCCATCTCCAGCTTTTAATCCTAGGAGAGGGCTCCATTCCTAAGTGGGTTGGCCCCCTAACACTGCTGTGCTTGGGCTCCCTACCATAGCAGCGTCCCTAGGACCCCCGGTTGATGCTGAAACGCTCCAAGAAGAAAACTCAGAGAAATGCATGCGGCAGAGGCGCAGTCTCCATAGCAATTGCCTTTTAGTGTGCCTTTATGGTTCAAAGTGCTTCCCACCAAGAATATTAAAAAAATGAAGCCTCTCCAGGTGTAAATGTTTCTTTAAAAAAATAATATGTCTCGTGTCTGCCTAGATTAATAATTCCTCCGCAGTGTTTTGGAAAAGGTCTCAGGTGTATAACACACTCAGGGGCTACTCATAGTCACCTTCTGTCTCACTGCATGGAAGACTGTAATCCCACACTTCAAAATTAAATGTTTCAAAGGTTTTGTGCGGGGTTGGGGAGCCAGTGTCTGCGTGAGGGGGGGCGCAATTCTCACAAAGCAATAGCAGCAATGTGGAGGTGAAATGAAAACCTGCATTCCTCCACAAGCTCTTCACCACAGGACACAGTGTACCCACCCTTTCTGGATACTGCAAAAAATCACGTGGATGAACTTCCTGTGTCAAGAACAATAAGAAATAAGCCAGCTGGCCAGCACGGTGATCCTACAGGTGCCAGCAGCTCAGCAGGTGGTGTGGAGGAGGAGAAGAAGAGGGGAGCTGAGCCTGAGGTCCTTGGGACCCAAGGGTGCTGTCTCTGTAGGGAACATTTATTGAGCACCTACTATGTGCGGGGGTGGGGGGAAATCGGGGAGAAGGAGGGGAGATCCCCAGATGCTCAGAACAGTGTTCCGACCATGGGAGAGGCTAGCAAATTATGACTCATGTTCTGGATTTTGTATTAGTTGAGGGTGTTGAAGTTGATTACAGACACCTTCTAGGAGGTGGCTACTTTTAATTGGAAAGGTCTTCAGATTTGCCACATGGAGGTAGTATGACTTGGTATGACTGTATCACTCAAGGTCCTTCTCTGGAGGAAAACAGAGAACACATGCAAAGATTTTTAACTTAAAAGGCTTTAAATAAAAGGATGATATACCAGGGTGTGGGCAGAGTTTAGGAACTCAACCAGGGCTTAGCAACAATGGGAAGAGATCATCATGCCCACACTCGTAGGACTAAGGAAGGGCTAGAGTCCCAGAGAGGGGGCTTGAAATAGGGGCTGCAGCTGATGAGGAAGCAGCCACTGCCAGGACCACCTCGTATAGAGGAGGCAGCTGTGGGAAGGCATACCCTGACCTCTCTCTCCTCCCATCCTCCATTCTGGAAGTACCTCCTGCTGACCAAACCCATCTGGAAGCCAGAGCTCAAGAGACCCTAGCACCTAGTCCAGGAATTGGGCAGGGAGGGCAGAAAGTGGGTCCAAGGAGTGGGTGGGTGGAGGGGGGCAAACAATGTAACCAACCAGCACAAGTGGACTTTATTTGCTCCTACAAGAGGAAGTAAGTGACTCCAGGGGTCATTTTCCTAGTCCATTTTCATCTGTTCCATTAAAGAAAGTCTCCAGGAGGAAGAGCTCTCCAGATTGGATTCAAAGACTTTCAGTAATCCCAGAACAAACCCACTACCCTGGCTCAAGGTTTTTTAGCTGACCTGATTCAAACCACAGAGGGCTACTTACGAGGTCTTAAAAGCTGGTCTAAGGTCAGCCCAGACCATCAAGTCATCACTGGCTGGTTGCTGAGTGTATAGGTCCCAGGGCCCCAGGGGTTCCGTTTAGGACAATTTCAAAGCCAAAAGCCCCACTGTGCCCAAGACCCAGAAAGAATGGAGATATCAGTCGATCCTCTGCTTTCCCCAAGAAGGGAGATCTTAGGGGGAAACACCAGCAACAGATTGGAGCACACACTAAAATACTTGAGAATTAGGCCATTCTTGAGAAAATAAGGGAACAAATCCACAAAAATGAGTAAAAGTCAAGTCCTCAATAATGTTCCACCTGAAGGAAGATAAAAGAGTCATAGACAGGTTTAAGAGTTTCTAGTTCACTGTCATTTCAGAAATGTACGATATCGATAAAATTCGAGCAAACAGAATGGGAAGAAACTCTATTGCTTTTCATTTGCTGTTATCAGTTCGATGCTGTCAGTTTTCAAATAAGGGATATGGTTTTTTAAGGTTTTATTTATTTATTTTTAGAGAGAGGGGAAGGGAAGGAGAAAGAGAGGGAGAGAAACACAGATGTATGGGAGATACATCAGTTGCCTGGTTGCCTTTCACATGCCCCAAGCTTGCCCCCAGCTTGCCCCCAACTGGAGACCTGGCCTGTAACCCAGGCATGTGCCCCAGCTGGGAATCAAACTGGCAACCCCTTGGTTCACAGGCTAGAGCTCAATTCACTGATTCACACCAGCCAGGGCTATTTCTAAGATATTTTTACACATTCCCAGCTCTGGCTGGTGTGGCTCAGTGGATTGAGTGATGGCCTGTGAACCAAAAGAGTTGCCAGTTTGATTCCCAGTTGGGGCACATGTCTGTGTTGCAGGCTAGGTCCCCAGTTGGGGGCACGCAAGAGGCAACCACACATTGATGTTTCTTTCCCTTTCTTTCTCCTTCCCTTCCCCTCTCTAAAAATAAAATATTAGAAAAAAATATCTTAGAAATAGAAGTTCTTAGCCCTGGCCAGTGTGGCTCAGTGGTTGGGGCATCATGCTCTATTCCAAAAGGTTAGGGGTTCAATTCCCAGTCACAGGACATATACCTAAGTTACAGGTTTGATTCCCAGTTGGGGTACATATGAGAGGCAACCAATCAATGTCTCTCTCTCTCTTTTTCTAAAATCAATAAACATATTTTTAAACAAGAAATAGAAGTTCTTAAATTTAAAAAGCCATTTATGTGGATCCTTCTAAAATTTAAATAAAAATAGAAAAACACTAAACATTGTAAGCCTCTGGGAAACTGGGTGTGGAATCTGCTCAGTAAATTGGCTGTGGCATTGGCCACTCCCTGGTCTGGACCTCAGGCCACGTCTGTGATGTCTCCTAGGGAGAGCTGTCTCAAGGATGTAAGGACCTGTCTATGTGCTACCCATAGTTACTGCTGGTGTGTGTAACCATGGCAGGAGTCTAATAAATGTTTATGGAATGAATAAACGACAGTATGTGGCCAGCTCTCTATACAGATCTGGCATGTTTTTAAGACAAACTTTAGAAAACTTTATGAAAAGACAGAAACCAAAATTTTCACTTATTCTAAACCCTGGGAAACACTACAGGGAGGTGAATAAGAACTGTGAGCTGCAAGCACACGTCAACGAGCCGACGACATGCAAGAAAAGACTTCATCCCTTCAGGACTGCCTGAGCCTTGGAGGAACTGCAATGTGATTATTAGATGCTTGTTTTATTCTTTACCAGCTCCGCCTTCTAAAAAAATTTATTTTTTAGAAATATTTTGTGGCATGAGCTTCATCTATTGCCCATTAAAATTTAACCAACTAATGTGTACCAAGATCTTCTATGAATAAAGCCTTGTTCCAAAATAATATAAACTTCAAAACATCCCAGTAAGTAATATTATTGTCTTTACTTTGTGGAAGAAAACTGAGTTAAGCAATTTGAGCAAGGTGCCGTATGGAGTCAATGGTGAAACGAAGTTGGTCAGACATTAGACGTTATTCTTATTTAATGGCCTGAGGCTAAAATCAGTTAAATTATAGCTATTAAACTGAAAAGGGAAAAAAGGAAGTGCAGAATGCGTTCCCAATCTCCTAGGCAAAGAAGCAAAAGACAACCACTGATTGACATTATTTATTTTATTAGGAGCACAAATATCAAGTGATTTAGCACCCTATGTGCTAAGCTAAAGTACAATACTCGTAAGTGTATTTTTGCTTTAAAATTTGAATTTTAAAGGTCAGAAATTTGTGCCCTTATTTTAGTGAATTATTTTGCTAATAACAATTAGATGTCTTGTGACAAAGAACACAAGAGCTTTTTTAAAGTAATCTGTACAATTTAGGCAAAATAACTACAGTCCTGAACAGGGCAAGCAATTAAACACAGTCTGCATCCTGCCTCTGAGGGTATTTTGAGGTCTGATAGCATTGTCGTCTGGTTCCTGGGATTCTCACTTTGAAAGCCTTTCAGGCTTTCTTTTTAAATATGTATTTGAAGCTATTAATTTTTTCTTGATGCAAACAAAGGAAAGAGCCTTCTATAGAATCTTTCTGGACTCCCACTGATCCAGGGAAGCCAACCAAATTTATCCAGAGAGCAGCTTACAGCCTCCAGTTCTCCCAAGACCTGATGAAATCATTAAAAATCATTAAATCATTTCCACAGAAGCAATCCGTCATTAAAGAGCTTTTATTAAAATGGTGTTTTGACATTTTAAAAACATGCATATGAGAAAATAATCCAACAGCATAAAAGAATGTCCAGCGAGAAGTTAGTTTCCCTGCATCCCCTGACCCAAAGTCTATGCCATCACAGTTGTCCTGATTTCCCCCCTTGTCCCCCCCTAGCCAGCACCCTCCTCCCTCAGGCAATCCCCCCACCACTGTCCACGTGATAGCCCTCCACTGCTAAGTGTGCAAACATGTTTGTTGCCATTATAGAGACTTGTATTTGTTA